GACCAAGGCTCTGGAACTAGGAAAAGGCAAGAGGATAAATATTTTCACTGACAGCCATTATGCTTTTGCCACCGCCCATGTGCAAGGGGAAATTTATCAAAACCAAGGGGTGCTGACCTCCAAAGGAAAAGAAATCAAGAATAAGACTGAGATATTGGCATTGTTACAAGCCATTTGGCTACCCCGAGAGGTTGCCATCATCCATTGCCATGGGCATCAAAAGGGGTCTAGCCCCAAGATAGTTGGTAATAATGCGGCTGATGAGGCAGCAAAACAAGCTGCCCAAAAATCAGTGGGGAAGCAAATAGTCCTGCTCCCCACACCAGTACTCTCAGAGAAACCCAAGTACACAGACAAGGAGATAACAGAAATGGTCAAAAAATGGTGGACCCAAGGTAAACATGGGTGGTGGACGACTAGTGATGGAAAAGTGGTACTCACAGCTGCTGTAGCAGACACGCTGTTACAAGAACTACATAAGTCCACCCACCTTGGCGAGAAAAGGATGATGGCCGCTCTATGATGCCATTTTGTCAGCAAAGGTATGGCACAAAAGGCTGAAGACCTGGTGAGACAATGCCTTACCTGTATCAAGGTAAATGCAAATTGGGTGATTGGACCCCCCGGGGTCCAACACAGAGGCTTAACTCCAGGAGAACATTGGGAGCTGGATTTTACTGAAATGAAACCTGGCACATATGGATATAAATACTTACTAGTGTTTGTAGATACCTTTTCAGGATGGATAGAAGCCTTTCCTACTAAAAGAGAGACAGCTGAGGTAACCATTAAAAGGCTTTTGACAGAGATAGTCCCTCGTTTTGGCTTACCCTTAGCTCTGGGCTCCGACAATGGCCCAGCCTTCATGGCTAAAATATCTCAATTAATTAGTAAAGCTTTAGGAATAAAATGGAACTTACATTGTGCCTATGGGCCTCAGAGTTCAGGACAAGTAGAAAGAGCAAATTGGATCTTGAAAGAGGTTCTAACTAAATTATGCCTGGAGACTGAACAAGGTTGGGTAGAGCTTCTCCCCTTTGCCTTCCTTCATACTAGGTGTAGCCCTAGACCTCCTCTAAATCTGTCATCCTTCCAGATCATTTACGGGTGATCTCCCCTGATTGTCCCTCTGGTTGATTTGGAGTTAAAGGAAAAACTTTCCCACCTTCAACTCCTTAAGTCCCTAAAAGCAGTCCATCAGCTTCAGTCCGAACTACATGATGAACTGAGAAAGACTATGCCTGGTCCCAGTGAGAAACCTTTGCAACCCTTACCCTATAAGCCGGGAGATTTGGTTTTCATTCGCAGGTTTGACTCCAAGACCCTGGAACCCCAGTAGAAGGGACCGGTTCCTGTTGTTCTGGCAACTCCCTTGGTGATAAAGGTAGCTGGACATCCTGCCTGGATACATCGCAACCATCTAAAAACAGCACCCCCTGTGGACATCTCAAAGGACGAATGGAAGGTCATCAGTCAACCAGGCGACCAAAAGTTAAGACTGGGATGGGTAGGAAGTACATCCCTTTCTTGCTGATGTTCTCTGGAACATCGGCAGTATTACCCCCAAAACAATTGGACCATACTGGAAATGTTTGGATTCAACTGGCACAATCACTTAAGTTGTCTGAGTTCTGTTTAAATGTAGATGTGAATTTCCATCATATATTAGGAAGCTGTCTCATCCCAGGGTGTACCCCTTTAAGTCTGATACAGCCTTATACCCTGTTTAAAGATATCCCAGGAAAAAATCTTACCTATGAAGATAGCTACAACTGGGGACATCCCTCTATCCTAAACCAAAAAATGTTATTAAGATATATATGTCCCGGATGATTATGTTAAATAATACCCAATGTGCTGTATATGAAAATTGTACTACAAAGTGCCTAAAGTTACAACAATCTGCAGGGATGCCCTGTCATGAGAAACAAAAAATTATATATAATAACAGTCATATCCCTTTACCATCGGGATGGTTTTATACCTGCGAGGGAATAACTTTTAATTATATTCCTGCCAACTTGACTCAAACTCGTTGCTGCCTAAGTTGCCTGGCTGTGATATTGCCAGATAGAACTGATTTGATTGTACCCAAAAGAACGAAGCACTGGTCACCTTATACTGCGCCAGGATGTGATGATGATGTAGGTCTCTTGACAGATGCTGAAGTGATATCTATGATAGCATCTGTGGTTGCTCTGCCTTCCATAGGAGTTCATGCTGAAAAGGCGGTACAAAAGTTAGCATGCAAGGTGGTCAAAGGTCTAAATGCCACCTCATCGGCCTTGGAATTAATTAACCAGGAGTTACAAGAACAATGACAGGCTATACTAGACAATAGGGCAGCAATAGATTATTTGCTTTTATTTCATCATCAAGGGTGTGAAAAAATAAAAAATATGTGTTGTTTAATCTGACTGACAACAGCCCAGAAATTAGGGAAAAGATAAAACAATTGGAAAAATTAGCAGAAAAAATACATAATGAAAAATTAAGATGGGACCTGTTTCAATGGTTACATAACTTGCAGTGGCCAAAACAACTTTTTCTTGTAATAATGGTAATACTCATATGTTTGCTGTTATCCTGTTGTTGCATACAATGTTTGCCTAGGGCCGTGCGTAAGATTACTTAAAATCCACAAAAATCAGTGGGGAATGTGGGACTATATGAGATTGAACGAAGGTTACTCCATGTTGCCTCACTCGATACTCCCCCTCTCCTTCTGAGTAAACCATGTGATGTCATTTCTGGGAAGAAAAACAAAGGTTCGTGGAATTCACAGTGTTCTTTGAAATTATGCAACTCCCCATAAACAGGAAATGTACTGGAACATGCTATCTACTATCTAAATGTACTGGAACATGTTATCTACTATCTAAATGTACTGGAACATGCTATCTAAATCCCCTAACCGTCAGGATCTCGCTTTTGTAATCTCTGCTTGCTAACGTCCCCTTGCAACCCCTATAAAAGAGCCTCGTACTCTGAGCCAGTTGTCTCTCTAAGCTTGTTTGCTTGGCGGGTGCCATCTGGCCAGACTAATAAAGGTCTGTTTTACTTTCCAACTTGTTGGGTGTGTTCCCTCCCAGGTGTTCTTCACGGCAGTCAGCTCCTCGGAGAGTTTGGTAAGGCCCTCGGTCTTACACTACCACAAGAAGTGATTGTAATTAATGCTACCATGGTCTCCAATCAGTGAGCTAGGAAAAATAAAAATTAAAAAACAGAGTTAGAATAAATGCCCTCCTCCCTTTTTTTGCAAAGACAATTCAATTCCACAGAGACTGTTTGAGGAAGTGTTTTGAGAATAAAGAATATGTGAACTAATTGGGCAATTCATGCCCTTTCTGATCTAAAATCTTCACTTTTTTATGGTTAGTATATTTGTCTATGGAGATTTCATAAACCACCAATCTATATCTTTCCTAGTTCTCTGAATTCAAGTAGATTTTTACATGATTAGGAAAATATCCAGAAGTAATATCTATCTCTTAGGATGAATTCCCATAAGTAAAAATAGTGGTTTAAATGGGGCATTCATTTTTTAATTATGTTGATAAAAATATTAAGTGTTCATGTTGACAAAGCATTTTAACTATAAAGCAATAAAATCAAGCTTTCCTCAAGTTTTTGTAAAATTTATATTAGTGAAAAAATATTCAGTTGTGATTTGAAAATATTTGTATCTCAAATTTTTTGGCCTAGTTTAATCATCTTCCTGCTGTGATGACAAATGAAAGAAAATCTTAGGTATCAAGATGTTTCAACATACTGCTTATGAATTTTTTAAAAGAAATACTCAAATGTATATTGCAACTGACAAAGAGATCAACAAAATAAAGAGCTCAAAAAATGGCATAGTCAAGATTTAAGATAAAAATAGGCTTATTTAAATATCTTTCACAAATGTAATCATAATATTAAATGTAAATTTGAAATTATCAAAAATGAAAATGCATAGCTTTAGGTACATAGACATGTATATATAGACATAATTGAAAGACAAATAGACAGAAAGACAGAAAGATAGATACACTGAGAAATATTTGAATAGAATTCCTAAATATAGAAACAAATTTTAGGTAATTTTTCTTACAGAGTGGGTTAAGACATTCATTTGTAAATAAGTTTGAAAAGAGAAATGGGAAGAGAATTAAAAGTGTCCTAATTAGTACATCTCAAATGAGAGGCATTTACATTAAATGGTTTTATTTTTGGCTCAGTAATTTGAAAAATTGCAAATTAAAGAATGTTTCAGAACAACATATTACCATGAGAATTCATAACTTGTTTCTCTAAATGCCTGGAAAATATAAAAATGAATTATCCAGAAACATAAATACAGAGAACAAAGTAACACATGAAAATCAATCACATTAGCTATAAGAACAAATGTGAATCAATTATGCTCTCCTATTGAGATTATGTATATGTGTGTGTTGGTGTGTATATTGTATCAGGAATAAAAACTTAATTTTTTGGAGAAAATCTTTTAAAAAATGTAAATAAAAAGTGCAATGCAAATGTATAAAAGTAGGGCTTGAAAAATATCAAATAAATCAACTCAAGACACAAACCATGACAAAAATTTTATTTTATATTGAAAAACCATACAATTCTGTTTCTTAATAATGAAGTAATT